ATTATTACTCCTACATTGAGATTATGAAATAATATCTGCTGCTTGGTGATTTATCCTTTATATAGAGATATCTGTTTTGGGCTATCAGTGGCAGATAGTTTTGATTGTTGTAACAATTGCATGAGGATTAGGTTAATTGAAACCAATTAGTCATACATCTTACATTGAACATTATTTCGTGTTTATACATTGAAAATGTATCGTTTTGAGAAAAACAGGTGAATACCTTGGTCAATTTGGTTATGGGGTGTGGTATTAACTATGTTGGTCTGTGTGTCCTTAGTAAAAGTCCAGAAACCCACGCGATTAGGTGCCGATCCTTCAGGTTCGTACCGGTAAAATGGCTTTAGTGGTGCTTGTATAGCTTATTGGCAGACACATACTTCGAGATTCCCAGTGTTATATATCCACTGCCCTGGTTTATGATTTTAAAAAGTATTGTTTTACGAATTAATTTATAATCATGGCATTGCATTGTTTTGATGGAGAAAAGTATAACGTTTTGGTAAATGACATTCATATGCATTCACTATATGACTTGTTAAGCATCATATAGTGTGTTTAAGTATTCTCTACTAGGTTTTAGCTCACCCCTATAGGGAAACCAACCTTTAGGTACTGATAGTGTGTCTCCGCCAAGGACTTAGTTTGGGAGGATCTTGGAGTCAAAGGCTCATTCGTTTTTATATTGTAAATAATTTTTGTACAAACCTTAGATTTTTTATTTGTTCTGGGCTTGACCCACTTCTGTTGTAATCAAACATTGTTTTGAAAATATGTAACCATTAAAGTATGAACTTATCTATATTTTTTTTTTTTCATTTCTATATATCACTATGTGTTATATGCTATAGGTAGGGGTGAGCATGGTCCGGATTGGACCGGATTGAAGTAAAAGCAGGACTAATCCGTTATCTACGGATCTTGAAAAATTGGAACCAATCCAATCCGTTTAAATCGTGAAACCAATCCGAACCAATCCATTTAAACACGGATTGGATCGGTTTAGGACCACGGATTTACATAATTAAATAACAAAAAATATATATATAACACTTTAATTTCATAAAAATATAAATATAGCACCATATTAGTTTCATAATAGCAACATGTCTTTTCATAATAGCGACAAATTGTTCTAGAATTTAAACAACCATAAGAAAACTAGTTCCACCATAAGTATTTAGACCATTACAAATTAACACTAAAAACTAGCAAACAAAAGTAATAAAAGAAGATACTATGTAAGTTTAGGTTTGGATTTAAATTTTATATGAAATCAAAGAAGTTACTATGCAGGAGGGTGTATAATAAAAATATAAACTTTTTGTATACGGTCTGGATCGGTTCCAATCCGGAACTGTGGGGTTCAATCCGGAACCAATCCGTGAATTACGGATTTTTAATTTTTTAATCCGGAACCGAACCACGGATTCAAAAAACCAATCCAAACCTACTAGATTGGACTGGACTGGATCGGATTACGAATTTTACGGATTCCCTGTAACGTTTTTCAGAGAATTAATGAAGGGTTGAAATCTTGCTAGTTTCCGCATTTCTGGTACCTTATAGAATTATCGTTGTTATATTTCGGGAACGTGACAAATTTATCATGCACCCAACCCCAATAGTATTGTTGCTCTAACAAAAAGTAAAATCCATTGTCAAAGTCAACAGCGTAGCAACCTATTAGAGTGTTAGAGCATTTATGATAACTTTCTTTTTAATATGTTATTTAATTATTAATCAATTATATCTTTTATCAATTATATCAATTATATCCTTTATAAATCACTAAATTTAAAAAATTATGATTCTATTTCATTTTTCCAACTTTATACGCCAAGACATATCTCTACACTAATTTTTTCTATGCAGATGAAATATGAGAAAGGGGCAATATTTGTTTATCCCATCTCATTTTCTTGAAAAATTATTAAGTGGTATTAGATCATCTCCAGAAGCCTCTCTATTCCTCTATTTTTGTTACTATAGCTAGCTAAAAGCAGAAAATTCATCTCCAACAGCCTCGCTGGTGGCTAGCTACTTTGATTTTCAGCTACAGTACCTCGCTAGGGAAGACGAGGCACTGTTCAGTAGCCTCTCAATTTTTTATTAGTTTCGTTTGAGCACTCCAAGCTTTGGTTACGATTGACGATCGACGCTGGAGGAGGAGGAAGAAGCCAAAGGAGGAGGATCGACGCCGGACAACTCACGATCAATGCCGGAGGAAGAGGGCCAAGCCAAAGGAGGAAAATCAACACCAGAGGAGACCGATCGAGCAGGAGGAGGACGGAGGACAAGAACGCAACGAGGACGATCGACGCTGACCTACTCACGATCGCAGACGAAGCTCTATGTCTCTCTTTCTCTGTGCTTGTATTTATTAATATTTTAAAGGGAATAGTTAAAGTAGAGAGTGCCGTTGGAATGTGTATTGAAAAAATGATTAGCTAAACTAATAAAGTGAAATTTTAGATAGCTAATCTGAGGATGGTTACGGAAGATGCTCTTAGGATACAATATTCTCACCAATCACCAAAGATCCTCTATGGTGCCATTTTGTAGTGCAATTTGTAATTCTTTTTGCTGAGATTACGTCCAAATAACATTACAGACGATGTTGACTTATTGTCCATCTCCCAACCACAAATTGTAGACCCCACTCTCGACCAAAATAACAATCACCTTGTTTGGTTTTGAAAAATTTAGTTCATTTTTTAAAAAATTAAATTTTTTATTATCCATATTTTCTTATTGTTAGTCAAAATTTTTAATATTTTTATTTTTTATTTTTTATTTTTTAGATGTACCTAACCTAAATACACTTAAAAAAATATAATATTTATGAATTTTTTTAAAAAAAAATTCATTAAATACAAAACATATAAAAAAAATAAAAATAAAAATTCAATATATTTTTGTATTGTTGTGTATTTATTAATTTTTTTAAATATTTTATTTTTTAGATGCATCTAAGTAAATGCATTAAGAGAGTTAAAAATTTATTTAAAATATTAAAAACATTTATTAAAAATAAAAAATAAAAAATATAATCTTTAAAAAATCAATCAAAATCAAAGTTGAATATTTTAAGACACCAATTGACCTTCTCTCTCTCTTTTTCTTTTTCTTTTTGAACTTAAAAAAAAGATACTATGAGGTGTCATCATGGCATTCATGGGCTCAGCTCCGTGGTTTACTAGTTTTCGGCTTGATTTAACCCAATTCATAGAAAGGGACCCACTACCGAAGTATCAGTGAAGCTCATCAACCACCCCAGCCAAAGCCAAGTTTCGATCGGAGCACAGCGCGAGATCTCTGCAAAAAGTCGCTGGAAAATCTAGTAGGCCTGCGTTTGGTTGTGTTTTCTAATTATGATTTGAGAGTATGAGTTGTATTGTGAGTTTGTGGGGTTTGGAATTATGATTTGAGTGTAGAAAATTTGTTTGGTAAAGAGTTTTGAAAATAATTTTGAGAAGAGTTTTGATTTGAGTGGGAAATTATTGATGTGACATTTGATATTTGATACAAAAATTACAATTCATAACTAAACATACAACTCAAAATTATTTTAAAGTACATAAAAAATTTTAAAAATTTCAGAAAATATTTTTTTCGATTATATAAAAATTAACATATCAATTACAAAAAAAAAAAAATCACTATTCCGGTCAACTGGCCGGAAGTCCCGTTAAGCCAAATTTTGAAAAAAAAAATTCTGTAAAGCACAGTTGCTGCAAAGAACTCTACAGAGTTTTGAAAACGTATTTCCAAAACACGTTCTAAATACCATACTGAAAACACAGTATAAAATCATATTTTGAAAACACAAATAAATAAAATAAATTATTGACTCATAATTACTCCCTCCGTCCCAAAATATTAGTCCCTTATTCCATTTTTCATTGTCCCAAAATATTAGTCTCTCTTTATAAATCAAGTACAAAAATAATGTAAATTTCCTATTTTGCCCTTCTTTTAAATTAATAAACAATTTAAAAAGTACAATTATAACATTGATATTCCCAAAAAATGTACTATCAAAAGGGTAATTTTGGAAAACTAACTTTTTTGAAATACAATAAGTGTACTACCAAAAAAAGTTAGATTCTTCAAAAAAGACAAATATTTTGAAACGGAGGGAGTATAAAAAGACTATACCTTTACCACTAAGCCACGACCCTCGGTGGTTCAATTGACCTTGCCTAGCTTCCCCATTTTCTTTTCCACGAAGACAACTTGTTTCCCCCCGTCAAGGGGAAATGTTCTGCCATTCTTGACTAATGCTAGGACTCCTTTTGAAAGTGGTGGCTCTGTATATTTTGCTGCTTTGTCTCGTGTGCACGTGATTGAATCGTATTATTTTTTATTTTTTTTGATTGAATCGTATTATTGAGTTCTGGGATACTATGAGCTTTGATACTCGAATTGTTGTAAATTAATTGAGTATTTTATTTTTAAAAAAATTATATTGATTAGATATTAATAGTTCTTAATTATAATATATTTTTATTAACAAGATATTTTTAAAAATTATATTTAGTATTAATAAGAATAAAATATGTTTAATAAATTATTGATACTCAGTTAATATAATTTTATGCGTGGATGAAGTAACTAATTGAATAATTTAAATTATTAAAATAGAATATTGTAAGTTTCACAGACTTTGTACTGTCTAAAAGATAAAATAGATTATTTTAACCACAACAAATAAAATATCATATCTAACTTATAATTATTAGACTCTTCTCTCACAAAAAAAAAATCAAAAAAATCAAAAAATTAAAAAGTCCTTCCCAAACTAAACTTTTTAACCCAAATTAAAATAACTAAAAAAACCTAAACTAAACTTTTTAATCCAAATTAAAATAACTAAAAAAATTAAAAAATCAAAAAACCAACCACTCCTTCCCAAACGGAGGCTTTGGCTTTGTCGGTTTCTATTTCATAAAATAATAATAATTTTTAAAAAAAAAAATTGAAAGCAAGAAGACCAGACGACCCAAATGTGTGGTGGAATATCCACCTTTGAATTTTTGCAAGTAGCATAGCTTCAAACAAGTCCAAGAAAAACCTTAAACAAACCAAAACCGAATCAATCTCAGTTCCATACATTCATTCAAAGAGACCTCAAACCCAAATTACCTTCACAACTCACTAACACAAACAGAAAAACCAAATCAAATCAAATCACAAACCCATCTCTCTCTCTAACTCTCTCTCTCCAAATTAGAATTTTTCTTGAATCTCTTCTCGTTGTTGTTATTGATGGGCATTTGTAGAAAACCATGAGCAAAGCAGGCAACTTCATTCAACAACTCCTCAAACCTTTCAAATCTGAAAATAAAGGTATATGGCTTTTCTATCCAATTCTCTCTCCCCTACATGTATATTATGATTGGTTGAATTTATTATGATATTTGTGTATAATTGAGGAATGAATAATCAGAGGGGAACAAAGAAGAAGAGTTAGAGAAGAAGATTCCCGCACTAGATCAGAAACGATTCTCTTTCGAAACCCTAACTTCCGCAACCAAACATTTTCACCCCGCTCACAAGCTCGGTGAAGGCGGCTTCGGCCCTGTTTACAAGGTACTATTTTACTTTTTTTATTTTTATTTATTTATTTGCATGTTTTTTTTTAAAAAAAAAGTTATAAAGTTAATTTTTAACTTGCTTTTCAAAATAGCACACACGATTTGTAAATTTTTGCATGTTTTAATAATTGATGGGTGGCTTGATGAATAATAATAATAATAATAATAATAGAATAGATGTGTGTATTTGTATGTATATAAGTTGCAAATGAGTTGAGTTGAAATTTGGGATGTTTGAGCTCGGTCCATTAAGAATTAAAAATTGTTTAGAATGAATTATATAAGTGTATTTTTTGAATTTTTGATTAAAAAAATCCAAGAAAAAAAATGATTATTTAGAATAATTTTTTAATTTTTTTACGAAAAAATATATATTAAAATATTGTATAAAATATCAAAATTATTTTTTTACCCATCTAAGTACATGCAATCCGTGCATGTCAGTACGGTTGTGCAATTGATGCTGCACTTGTTTTGTTGTTGTTTTTTTTTTAATTTATTTTTTCTTTTGCACCCGTGGCAGTACATTGATGGTGCACTGGTTGTATTGTTTTGGTACATTGATTTGAACAAGCACATGTGGCAGTATGCTAGTGGTGCATCTCTCATAGGAACGGACAAAAAGTAGGACAATTCTGTCTTTTTCCTTTGACTATTGCACCTTTTTTTCCCTCCAAATTTTTTGTGAATAATGTTAATTTTTTAATTTTTTAAATAATTTTTTGACTTCTGTGTATTTTTTAAGAAATTCCAAAGAAACACTTGGTTAAGCTTGAGCTTAAATAACTCAAGTCAACTCGATTATATAAACGAGTCAAGTTCATGTTGGAGCTTGAAATTAAAAATCAAATTTAAATTATTTTACATGTTAAGTGAAAAAAATAGAAAACTTTGAGTAACATGTAAAAAAATGCTTATATTAGTAATAAAATTTCATCAATTAAATAAGAAAGTTTACACACCAAAAATAAATAGAGAAATGTAATATATCTGATATATTATTAAAAATAAATATTAATTTATATTTCTTGTGTTCACGAAATCCCGCCGTTAAAGGCTTTAACGGCGGTTTTACAGCCTTTAACGGCGATAAAAAACCGCCGCTAAAGCCCAATTTTGGCGTAGTGTAAATAAGAAAGTTTACACACCAAAAATAAATAGAGAAATGTAATATATTTGATATATTTTTGAAAATAAATATTAATTTATATTTCTTGCGTTCACGAGTCTATCAAGTTGAGCTTAGATCTACTTGAACTCAGCTAGATTACTAAAATATTCTAAAAATTGCAATTGAGCTCGTCCATTTAGCAAATGAACCAAGCCTAAACAAGCTTTAACAACCCTAGCTCGAGCTGTTGCCGGTTCATGAAGATGTTGGTTTGTTTGCAGTCCTAATACATATGTTTATTTGTATATGTAATTGTTGGGTTATTTTTGGATATGCAGGGGAAATTGGATGATGGAACAATGATTGCGGTGAAGAAGCTTTCCCGGAGCTCAGGTCAGGGGAAGAAAGAGTTTGTGAATGAGGCAAAGCTGTTGGCGCAGCTACAGCACCGCAATGTTGTGAATTTGCTGGGTTTTTGTGCACATGGTGCGGAAAAGTTGCTTGTGTACGAGTATGTAACTCATGGGAGTCTCGACAAGCATCTCTTCAGTAAGCCCTGTTCTATTTTAAACTACTACATTTTAACTTTTCCTGTAAATTTAGTGTACTTTCAAACCATGGTGCATGATAGCTGAATTGAAATTCAAGTCCTGTTTGGCTATCTCTGCTTTTTGAAAACAAGCAAAACCCAAGTTTTGTAATTAGTTTGGCTAACATAGTAAATATTTGATATTAAAATATATATATATATATATATATTTTGAAGAAATCTCACTAAAATAGTGCAAAGACCATTTTAATATGGTTCATTTATTCTAAAATCATAAGTTTAAAGGGGCCTACTAAACTTTTCATAATAATAATAATAATAAAATAGCAATTATTAAATACATCCATCTTTTAGCATTTACATTTTTTATAATAAAAAAAAAAATAAATAAATAAACAATTGTCAAACCATCATTGTTTGGTGTAACAAGCCAATTCCTACTATCCTAGGTGGAGTTTTTCTTTAAAGTCAAGTTTTTTAAAATCATATTTTTTTAATATTTTGAACTTATTTTTCAAACCTAAATTATCTTTTGAAATAGTAAGTTTTGCATTTCAAAATATGACTTCAACTTTGAAGTACTTCACAAAATAACATGGAAGTGTGAAATATGAGCCAAACAACTTGCATTTGAGAAATATGATTTGAAAGAAAACTATGCTTTGTTCATCTAATCATTCTTCATAAGAAATGCTACTTGACATAGGCCTTTTGAGAAGTACAAACCTTGAAGCAGAAACCATTTTTGGAACTAATGAGAAAGGAAGTAAGCCCATTATAACACAGGAATGTTGCAGAGATCTGTCTGTCTCAAGTAGCTTTTATGTGTTCTTTTCATCTTTTTAAATGGATGTTCCTCGTTAAATTGTCAATGGTGGTATAATAATACCCAATGTTGCACTTTTCTTGATTGGAGTGATCTCAACTCAACAGACTCATATACATTCTGTCCATCTTGAAAAGAATCAGCTTCTGCTGCTTATAATAAATTCTCATTTAAAGGAAAAAAAAATTAGAAAAAAGAAAATAAAAAATAATCAGCTTTAGTTGCTATAGTTTAGATGTTCAATTGTGTACTGAGGGATAGTGAAATACAGCAAATCTCAATGTGCTTGAGAAAAATTTGGTTGCATGGACTTTCTAGTCTTTCCTTCATGACCATTTACGAAAGATTTCTAACTGCTACTATTCATCAGAGTGAAACAAACACTCATTCTAAAGGCCCCTAGAAAACATTGTTGTGCAAAAGGGAGCACAATGTTCTTCATTTTTCAGTCGCTTGAAAAATGATTCTATGTTGAGTGGCCGTTAAACTATTGAAGAATCGTTTTTTAGAAGGGCATGGAGTTGTTTGCTTGAAGTCTTTCCACACAGAAACCAAGGAATTATCATGCCAAATGGGTGCATGCATGAAATGTATGCTTTGAGCATATGTAACTCAGCATCAGGAATTTAATCTCATTATAGAAGTTCGTTCAAAATTGGGAAGGATAACACCTTAAGTTGCTACTCATGTCCGATTAAGAATGTGGATATTGTATAGTCCTCTTAGCATAATATATGATGGTAAATTTTTTTTTGACTAAAATCAAATTAATGAGCATCCCTTCTTATTTTTCTTTACAATCTTCTAGTAGTTACAGAGCTGTTTTTGACTATTTATCAACAAAAACATAAACCAAACCAAATCAAGCCTTAAGTCCCATCAAATGGGGTATCCAAAAAAAAAAAAAATTGGGATTAGATGAAATTTATTCTATTTAATTTTATTTTTGAGGTTTATCAAAATTTGGGTAGGTATTTGTTTCCAGCTATTTATAGGGGAGTTGAAACTATTTTCACATTTTCAAACTGTGTACATACTACATAGCGAAAATCTATATTTTTGTGCTTAATTGAAAATCACCAATCATATTCATTAGTAAGAAAAATTCAGATTGACAGTGATGAAAGTTCTTGAAGTTTGTTAAGAGTAAAGATCACTATTTCAGGCTTGGCTAGTGTTTTCCCCTTTATTTTCCTATTTTGTGAAATTTTCAATCGATTGGTACGATTCTTATTTACAATGTAGTATTATTCTTTGTCATTCTACTTTTTAATTCTGCAGTGATACAAGTTACAACACATGTCTGCTTGGTTTTCTGTAAAGAAAACAATATTAATTTTTGTTTCTTGTAGCCAGTGCTGTCTCTTCATCCCTCTATAGGCTTGGAACTTCCAAGGGTGTAGTTATATTAATATGTTTGTATTAGAGCCCCATCTTTTGAAACTTTCAATGTCTTGACTAACTCCAACTCTATTGTGGTGGCAAGGTCCATCATTTTCAGCATGGCAACCTAAATCTCAGGACTGAATTGGAAAATGCTTTTTTAGTAACTTTTTTGTTGACTTTTTTTCCTTCTCTTTTCTTTCCATTTTTAATGAACTTCTTTTAAATTTTTTCAAAAGCCTTTTCAGTTTTAGGTCATACTAGATGAAATAAGCTTACAGAACCAAACCCCAACTTCCAACATCAAGAAAGCTTGTGTATGAAGGGGCTAATTCATACCCGATTCCTTAATCATCTTGTCTTAATTATCTTGTTACGTTGTCTTGTTTCTCCTCTAGGTTGATAACTAGATAGATTACATTAGAACCAATTAGATCTATTATTCTCTTTCTTGTAGGATGTAGCTTAACTTTCTTTGAAGTCCTGGTAATTTAGTTAGAGGTTCGCAAATTAACTTTGATCGTTATGGACTGGTACCAAGAAGGAGTGCTAAGCAAGTCAACCTAATTTTAACAGCCAGCCCACAGAGCATTCCTAGTCACACCAGCAGAGGGGTCAAATGGCTGGGCAAGGCCTCACACTCTTTTGGCTCCATGCGGAGTATAGCTCACATCCAAAAATCTGATTGGGGAATGGGGAAACACATCTGAAAAGTAAAAATTAAAATTTTGCAAAAAAAATCCACTACAAAAAAAAAAAAAAAACAAGAAAGTTCTTTTTTTAAACTTATTTTGTCTTTAGTGAACTATTTTTAGATATTATTTTTTAAACCCTTCAAGTTTAGAATGACCTAAAACTAAAAAATAAATAATAAATTGACACATTTAAATTATTTTATTATTTTTTTTTAACTAAAAACAAGAAAGTTTGCAGAAAAAGTGTGACTTATTTGGCCTTTTTTAAGCTTGGCAACTTTAAATTAAACGTGGATGACATACTTTATTAATGAGATTGAATGGAATGGGGAGAGGATTAATGTGATGATCTTGGTTTAGAGTTTGGTAGACGAGATGTGCTTGATTGGAAGCGGAGGTATGACATAATCGTTGGAGTTGCTCGGGGCTTGCTTTACCTTCATGAAGACTCACACAGTGCAATCACTCACCGTGACATCAAGGCCAGCAATATCCTACTAGACGATAAATGGGTTCCAAAAATTGCTGATTTTGGCATGGCTCGCCTCTTTCTTGAAAATCAAACGCATGTCAAAACCCGTGCAGTTGGTACCAAGTACGTTGTTGAGCCTTAACATTTCTTTTCTAGTTTTAATCCATGATATGGTTACTAACTGATGCTTGTACTTGAAAATAGTGGGTATGTGGCTCCTGAGTACGTCATGCATGGACATCTATCTCCGAAGGCAGACGTATACAGTTTTGGGGTTGTGGTTTTAGAGCTGATAAGCGGTCAGAAAAAATCAACTTCTGTTAGTTTAAATGCTCAAAATCTAGTGGAATGGGTATGCACTTGATCCATCTTTCCTGTGATCATTTTTGTTGTACACTTATAAATGGAATGAACACCCTAAAATTGTGGTCTTAAGAGTCTTAACCATAATTGGACAATTATAAAATTCTACTATAAAATTCCAATGAATGTTTTAACTTCTTTTATTTTCTGTTGTGAATAGCAATCTTAACCATTTTTCTGTGTTTTTTCACACGTGTAGGGCGTACAACCGAGAATTGGCTAATTGTAAAATGGGTTAGACCAGAATGTTTGAGTGACAGAAATTTTTTGATTTATTTTTTATATTTCTTTTCCTCTCCCAAATACATTGTCAACTGTGATGGTCAACCTGTGGTTGTAAATTTGTAATTAGAACTGATAGTCAGAGTAGGGTCCACAATGACGGAAGGAGAGGGGGCCAAGGGGGCTGCAGCCACCCTTGACCAAGTAATGGCGACGACTGTTGTAACAGTAATGGTAGCGCTAACGCGATTGCAGAGTGTAATAGTTGTTCCCAATGGTTTTTCCACGTATACAATGTCATTGATCTTATTATTATTACTGAGATATTGTGTGAATGACATGTTTCATTGATATATGTTGGAACTGATTGATTGAATTAAATAATCCGCTTGGTAAATTTTAATTAGTTTTGATTAAATAGTTTGACCTATTCACCCACCAACCAAGGCACAAACTATTGTCTCACACTTTTTAACAAGAAGTGGTGGGAATGAGTAAACTTTGAATTGTCAACTCTTCTATCATTCCTAGTTTTTCATGGTAAGGTTCATAGAGGGAAAATATATATACATATATATATAAACCAGTTTTCAATAATATTTCTGTGTCAATTTTATAAAAACATTAAGTTTGAGTAAAATATTGTATATTTTGTACAATAGATCCACCAAGATCTGTGTGCATATTTCTTATCTGTATTGTTTATGTCAATCCAAGCCCTAGTGGATTATGTGTCAACCCTTGAAGGTTGGACCTTATTGATAATTACCCATTACAATTTGAACTCTTTGTGACAGATTTAGCCATTTGTGATACCGAATTGTAGCTGAACTCATTTATAAGGTGTAACATGATTCATTATTGATGCAGGCATATGAGCTGTACAGGAAAAATAAGAGCTTGGAGGTTATGGATCCAACATTGACATCATCGGCCATCCCTGATCAGGTAGCAGTATGTGTACAGATTGGGTTGCTGTGCACCCAATCCAATCCACAACATCGACCCACCATGCAACGGGTGGTGGTAATGCTGTCAAAGAAACCTGGCACACTAGAAGAACCAAGGAGACCTGGATCTGGATACCCCGGTTGCAGGTACAGAAGATCTCCCAAGTTCAATGTATCATCATCATCCATCGAATCAATAATTATCACGCAAAATGCGGGACTTCGTTTGAAACTGTGAATTTGCATAGGTGTGTCACTATGGAGTGATGAAGTTTATGATGGAGTTGATTTCACATTGAATTGAATGCTTCATCTGTATATGTAGGATCTACCCACAACTAGCAACAATGTAACTTCTAAATCTGTATATGCTAGAGCTTGTTGATTTTTTTGGGTTTTTAGCTGATTCAGTGATTGCCTATTTAATAAGAAAATGTTATTCTAAAAAAAATGTTCTTTTTGCATTAAAGAATTTTTGGTCAGTGGAGATGCATTGCAACAATGTAACTTCTAATCTGTACATGCTAGAGCTTGTTGATTTTTTTTGGGTTTTTAGCTGATTCAGGAACTGTTTGTTACAATTTTTTGGGGGTGATTATAGCTTATTTTGATTTGAGAGTCTGTCTCAGATTGTTTGGTGCAACTTCTACTTATAGCTTATTAAGTAGAAATAACTTAAATAACTGAAAAAGCTAATTAATTGAAAGTTGTGGTAGGAGTGCTTTTAGCTTTTGGTTTCTAATTATCAGCTTTTAACATAAAAAAAGCTCCACCATACAAGACCTCGGTGATTGCCTGTTTAGTAAGAAAATGTTATTCTAAAAAAATGTTCATTTTGCATTAAAGAATTTTTGGTCAGTGGGGATGCATTTTGCAGTTATGACTAAAATTTGGGAATGAGTGCTGCTATTAACACCTACTTTTTTTTCTTTGGACCCTCCATCTATTTTATTTGGGTAATTCTACTTACACCACATATTTATCTCTTTACACACTATTTCTTATTACACTACCCCTTATCTTATTATATTATTCATAATTTCCAATATATCATCATCCTTACCAATTCATCCTCTCTTTACACCCATTCACATTTAAAACCCTAATTTCATCCCACCACCTCCTACCACTATCTCTTTCACCTTCACCACCACTGCTAGTTATTTTTCACCGTCATCGGCCAACTGTTCTCCACCTCCGACAACTCTACCCCACTCATCCTCTTTCTTTTCGTCGTCTCTCCTCCTCTCCAGAACCACCGTCTAGCCCTTCCACCACCTATGTACCATCCATTCTTCCATACAAATCGTGGCCCCACCGTCTCTTCTTATTCTTTGACAAAACCTACATTTGAAACTTCTCTCTCTCTCTCTCTCTCTCTCTCTTTGTGGCGTGCATGATGGCAAAGGGTATGAGGGATTCGTGGGGTGGTTCACGACAAAGACGGGTCATCGCTAGGAGGAGAATAGCGGCAAAGAATAAGGATGGAAAGAGAGATGCGACGATCAAGGAAGAGGGTAGATGGAGAGTCATAACGGCGGAGGACGTCTGGGAAGACGATCGCAGCGGGGGAAGAGAGGGTCGAGGTGGTCAAAAGTAGTAGTTGTGAGGGAAGTCAAAAGGAGGTGGTGGTGAAGGAGGATGCTAGTGAGGAGGGAGTTGTGGGTCAATTGAAGTAGATGGGCGAATAGTGTGAGAGGACTGTTGAAGGTGGAAGAAGAGTATAGAAAAGAGAGTGCAGAGTGGTGTGTGGGATGAGAAATTGTTGCTTCAATTTTTAGGGTTTAGGGATCAATTAGTAATTTTACACAAAAGGATAATATTGTGATAAAAAAAAAAAAAAAAATTGAAGGGTGTAATAAGTTCTTTTTGTGGCGTAAGTAGAATCACTCTTTTTATTATTTTTTTAATTCTAATTTTATTCAAACATGAAGTTACATTTTTACTCTCATCCTTAACATTCTAACCCTAATTTCCCAAACTCTAACCTTAACCCTAATTTCCCAAACCCTAACCCACCAACCTTTTCACCACCATCTCCACTAGTGACCACCACTGCCACTACCGCCAGCAACCTCCTTTAACAACAGAGAGAGAGAGAGACTTGAATCCTTCAACAGTCAGTAAGGAAGTCATGCTTTGGGTTTGGGGCTATGAAGATTTGGATTTGGATTGGTGACTGAGGAATTGATTTTGGGTTTGGATTGATCATGGGGATAATGGGAGAAAGAGGTTGCAATTAGGTGAAGGAAGGTTGGAGCTGTTATTGATGTATGTATATATACATATATTTTCTCTATGTGTGTGTATATGTATATATAAGTTGAAACTAGATTCTATAAAAGAAAGTCCATAATTATTCAAACTCTGTCATGCATATATATTTATTTGTTTTAATTGAAGCTTGAGGTTGCAATATAAGATTATTTTTTTGTTCTCTCTGGCACCGATAGTGATGAAGCAGTTCACGGCGGTGATCGATGAGGAAGATGGCAATGAGAAGGTAGATCTAGAATTGAAGAGTTCAGAGAAGAGGGGAAATGGCAGTGGTGATAATGAGGTTGGGGTTAGTAAGAGGAGGACGTTGGCAAGGAAGCTTGGGGATGATTTTGATTGGGTAACAACGGAGAGTGGGTTGGGGAAGACTAAGGGAAGTCCGGTGAAGAGTTTGAGTATTGGATTGAAGACGGTGGCGTCGCAAACTCGAAGTCGGCATGGTGGGACTGCCGACAGTAAGGAACATTGCAGAAGAAAAGTTAGATTCAAAAAATGAAGAGTATAATTGAAGTTAAAGTGGGGGTTCAAAGAGAAAATTGAGGAAACTTATTTAGATGAGTAGGGGTTCAAAGAAGCGGAGGGTCCACAGAAATTAGGTAAGTGCTAATAGCAGTTATTCTCTTTGTTGCCATCACCAACACCTCAAAACCACCATCACCATCGCAACCCCTTCAAATCGATACCATCAAACAATCTCTCTCTCTCTCTCTCTCTCAAATTCAATTGTCATTTCAATAGTTTTTGGGAAGAAAGAAATGATAGAGTATGGGTTTTGAATTGGGGGCAACATAGCTATCATTCATCTAATTTTGTACAAATGTTGAATAGAAACATTGGGGATTAAAATGAAAAAAAAACACTCTTGAGGCCCAATATAGGAAAATGTTAAAACTTAAGAGTAAAGTATAATTTATCCAACAATGTGTTATTATGTCACACGGTTGTCCACGTGCTATTTGTCGTCCAATTTTGGACATACGTAGGCTATTGGGTCAAACTAGGAAAATTTGAAATGTAAAAATTCAAGTGAAAAAATATATATATATATATATATATATTGATAAGGGATTGCTTGGTAAGATGGTTGGGACTAAATTAGTCCACTAAAAGACAAAATAGGCTGAAAAGTCAATAAGATAAAATATCACATCCAAACCATAATGATTTTACTTTTTTTTTTTCCTCACAAAACTACAAAAAAATCAAAAGTTCATCTCAAACGAAACTTTTTAAGTCAGGCTAAAATAGTAAAAAAATTAAAAAGTTAGGAAAAAAAATTCTTACCAAAGGAAAGCAAAATGTTGAAACTTAAATGGGAAAAAGTGTAATTTATCCTTTCTTTTATGGTGATGCTTCTTTGTTTGGCATCTTGCAAACTTGTAGGTGTGCTTTCCTTTGGGAATTTTGGATGGAACTTATAAATTTTTGTAGGGTTGTACCAACTTTTAGGATGTCTTATATTTTTTTCTTTCCTCAATTTTTAATATTTTGATGTAATTTATATTCTTGAATTAATAAAAATTTTATTTACCTCCAAAAAAAATGATGATGTCATCTGATGATGTAAGCACTGACGCAAGTGCTGGGACTATTAAAGCTAGGGCTGTGCAAAATACCGCCCAATTTGTTAAAACCACACCGATCTGCATCAATCCATACCGCTCTAACCGTTAACCGTGGTTTAAACTTTAAAATTTATAATCCGTCAACCGAACCGCTCCGCTCTGCTATACTTAATACATATATATTTTTTAACTTCTAATGAAATATCAATGTAAAAATGAGTGTAAGATAAATTTAAGATATGAATTTATTACAAATTAGTGGTTATATATATGAAAAATATTATATAAAATTATTTAGTGTTATATATATATAAAATATTATGTAAATTAATGTTATATATTATGTAAATACTTAATAATTGTTTAAGATTATTCTTCAATCAACTGACAAATTCAAATCGTTGAAACTGTGGTTTGATTATTTGTCAATCTACTATTCACAATTTGGTTTATTATTTTACCCTTAAAATACACTGTGCACACCCTAATAAAAAATGAGGATATGTTTGGTTTTCTTTTCGGACACAATTTTTTATAATAAAAAAAAATCAAAAAAAAATCAAAAAATATGAACTAATTTGATAAAATTAAGTAATAAAAACTAATTTTTAAATTTAAATTATGTAAAAATATCAATATTTTTTATTTTTTCATTAGTTTTACCAAATTATGTTTTAGATTTTTAAAATAAAAAATGATTTAAAAAGAAAAAAAACAAAGCCAATTGATTTAATAAACAAACCACGATTGGACAAGAAAAATTTTAGCCACCTTTAAGCTAAAATTTACAAAAAGATAAAATAAATTAAAATAGTTAATAAGACAAAATGTCACATCAAATTCATAATCATTTTACTTTTTCTTTCACAAATATTATATCTAACTACAAAAAAAAAAAAAATCTAATCATTTTTTCAGATACAAAAATTTTAACATACTAAAATAGTTAAAAATTAAAATAGTCTACTAAAATAGCAACTTCCCAAACACTCATAATATCTCTTTTAATCCAAGCTCTTCTCGCAAGTGAAGCGCCCATTTTTATTTTTTATTTTTTATGATGCTATTTGGAAATCTAGGTTTGGGATTAAAATAGCCTCAAACACTACAAAAATCAAATAGCCTCAAACAGTGGCCTAAGCCGCTAACCTATATTAAAAATAAAAAAAAATAAAAAAGAGCTGCCTAAGCCATTGTCACGTTGACAACCTACCACCACAAGTAGTAAATGACAATTTTTCCCCTTTAGACCAATTTTGGAAAAACATTAATGTCTTTGGTTAGAGGCAAATTTGTCATTTTAGCCTCAAATATCATTTCAAACACATTTTTCAATACAACAATCAATCAAAAAATTCAACCCAACTTTCCAAATACAAAAATTAAAATAGCCTACTAAAATAGTCCAACAACCAAAAAGTTAAAAAAAAAAATAGACATTTCCCAAACAAGGCCTATATAAGGGTAAAGCCACTTCGTTTATTATTGGTACGCTCCTTAAAGGTAGGGTTGGCTGCAATTTGAATGGCGTCATTATTGTCACAATGAATAGGCGTTGCAGCGGTGAGATGAACCCTAAGATCAGATAAAAATCTGCATAACCAAACCACTTCACTAGTGGC